CTGCTGCTGCTGCTGCTGCTGCTGCTGCTGCTGCTGCTGCTGCTGCTGCTGCTGCTGCTGCTGCTGCTGCTGCTGCTGGTGCTGCTGCTGGTGCTGGTTGCAGTGGATGCGGTGGTGGCAAATTGTCGCTGTCGTCGCTGCAGCTCTGGCTGCTGTTTGCTGCGTAATGCCCTGAAACGGATAGCTGCAAAAGGCGGCGAAAATGTCTGCCACAAGAACCTTCGGAGCTGTGGGCCTCGAGCCTCCATGCAAAAGCCACTAAGCAAGTTACACTCTATAGCAACGGCGAAGACCGCTTTGCACCGAAATCCGTACGGCAAGTAAGCTGAAACCCGTCAGATGCTCCTCTGCCCCGAGACCAAAACCGGTGGAAACGACCGGGGAGCAGACCCAGTGGTTGTTGCTGAACCTTCCAAGTTTCGGGTTCGTCACAGGTGGGGGGGGGGGGGGGGCACTCTGGAAGTCTGAGACTGCATCTTAAGGCTTATAGGGGGCTTATAGGGGCTTGTAGGGGCTCTTAGGGGCTCATAGGGGCTCTAACTAGAGGCCTAAGGGAATGCAGGAAGATCCTGCGCCCCAAGAACGTCCTTTTAACCCCTCAAAAGCCTTCAAACTCACCACAAAACTAACCCTAAACCCTACACCCCTAAGGGTTCGAGCAGATTAGGGCAACCCTCATCTACTGGGCAGAAGCTGACCTCGAGGAGCGGATTGGCTCCCTCACTGGGTGTTCAGCCCCACGTAGGTGCACCTTGACTGTTTCTTTATAGGCTTTAGGGTTTAGGGTTTAGGGCGGAATTGAAACAGCAGGCTTGGGGCGACTGTCGGGTCGAGGGTGGTTCGTTTTTGTCGGTGTGGGCTTGTTCCAAGTGAATCCGGCAGAGTATCCCTGGTAGGAGTGCCTAGCCCCAGAGAATCCCTGTCCGTGGACGGTCCAATGCACAACAGGTGTGTGTTTTTTCTGCTTGGGAAAATCATGACACTTGTTGTTGTCGGACTTCTGGGCATACATGGCTGGATTGACTTTGAGAGGCACCCGGTGGATCCTTACTTGCTTCAGACCTTGCTGGGTTCCGAACGTCTGCTCAAGGTTTGACAAGTCTTCGGGGGGTCATCACTCCAAAACCCTGAACCCTGAACCCTGAACCCTAAACCCTAAACCCTGTAAACTAGCTGACCACGAACTTCTCAACAATGCCCAAAGGAACTAGGCAGCTGCCGGAGGCGTGCTCCTCATCGGCTCGGGAGGAGGGGAGGGTTTAGGGTTTAGGGTTTAGGGTTTAGGGTTTAGGGTTTAGGGTTTAGGGTTTAGGGTTTAGGGTTTAGGGTTTAGGGTTTAGGGTTTATGGTTAGGGTTTAGGGTTTAGGGTTTAGGGTTTAGGGTTTAGGGTTTAGGGTTTAGGGTTTAGGGTTTAGGGTTTAGGGTTTAGGGTTTAGGGTTGTGCCGTCTTTAGAGGAGGAGTTTCGGGATTGGGGAACGCCCGGGGGTATGGGGCTCTCGCTAGATATCAGCATGGTACGATGTTGAATCTAGCATCGGCTCAAACTTCCCCTGAGCTCGAAGGCCCAAAGGAGCCTGGAACTCCAACGAGCACTGTGCCGTGAAGTCGAAAAGCAAGCGGCTTGAGTGTCGAAGCCTTTCGATCTAAGCCCGGGCCTTAGAGGCCTATAGTAGCAGCCAACAAGTTGGAAACTCAACAGCGTGGGTTGTCAGAAGGACATGGGGTGCAGCAAGTAGCAGACTCGGCGCCCGAGGGTGTCAGGGTTCGGGCGCGGGGGTTCACGAGTGCAGATATGGTGCTTTCGATCCTAGAAGTCTCTGTAACTGTTGGACCAGAGATTTTCTAAAGTTGGACCAACAACCCTGCTCCAAATCCAGGGGACTGAGGACCTTCCTTTGACCCGTGTACACTTCGGCTGAGGCCCTAGGACGTCCTCGGCTACGCTGCAGGATGGTTCTGCGAGGCCCCAGGTTGGACATGCGCCCTGGGAACCTTGGCGCGGATGCCGCTATGGTGGGCGTGGGTGGTGAGGGGATTTGACCTTACATGAAATATGTAGCAGGGCGGGGCGGGGAGTTTTCGTTGTGGCACTCCACTACGGATCTCGGCTTGAGCTGAGAAACAAAGCCACCAGCAAAACGGGGTGGCCTCGGGCATGTGCACCGTGCTGACCTCGGCTTTGAAGACTTCTTGCAATAGTCCAGTTCATGAGTGAGTCTCGTGTCAGGTGCATAGCAGGGTCCCGGGATGACATCTCCTTGTGTAGGGTCAATAGATTCAAGGCTTTGTTGTTCCTCTCATAGCTGCTTCTGTTTTTGGTCCGCCGGCTTGTGCCCAAGTACAACGACGAACCCATGGAACGAAGCCGAGGGGCATCGCATTGCTTCGCTTCCTCCATACCTGCCGAGGATGCATTACCCCTCACCTGACAGCCGGGCATAAGCCCTCCCGAACATCGAACGGAAAGTGATGATTATAGAAATATGTAAATATGTGTACATGTACGAAAACATAAGCATATATATATATATATGTATATATGTATATATGTATATATGTATATATGTATATATGTATATATGTATATATGTATATATGTATATGTATATGTACACGTATATGTATGTGTATGTGTATGTGATATATGTATATGTATATGTATATTTATATGTATATGTATACATAATATACCTTCCTTTGTGATATTTATACTCATCAATATAATTTATACTTATATTTATACGCATATATTTTCCGTCGGGTCTCGAGTCCGTTAGTGTGCCCGCCCTCCCCCGTCTATAAGCAGGGCTGGCGATCCCTTCCAACTGCCTTCTGCAACCTTGCGATGGATAAAGATCGCAGAACGGGGTACGCAGATGCGGGGGCCACCAACCACAATGTCGAAGTCTTCTGCCGCAACTATTTACATGCGCCCGCGGCCTGCTTTCAGAACGCACAGGGAGTAGTCGCTGTAGCAGGCCGGATCTCTGTCTCCAGTGCATTGGTGGTTTCTGTTGGCGTGGATGAGCATTCTGTTCTCCACCTCACTGACAACTAGTCAACAGGTTTAGGACCGGACTCGCTTCTAGCCTTTCCCTATAGTATCCTAACCTCATCGATGAAACAACACCAGCTGGGAGGCTCAGCAAGCCCTACATGCTGGCTTTGGCCCTACGAGTAGACAACAGTACGGTGCTCAGCTCCCATTCAATCTCTCCTATTCCTGTACTGCACCTCCTCAAAGCGTAACACGAAGCAGCACCCCAGACATCAGCCAAAGATCGGCCTTCGCGGGCTTCAGGCGGAAGTTCAGCCGCACGCCCGAATATGCAACAAAATCCAGCACTCGTAGCAAAAAAAAACTACCAAACCCGCTCCGACATTCCTTGCAACACCGCCGAACAGCCGATGAAAAATGATATAAAACGTTGCTTTCTCCTGCTTTTTTCCACCACTACCCTGGCACCACAGTCCGAGCCGAGGTGCCAGCTGCAGGTCAGCGTCCTGCGGGTGCACAGCCCCAATCACAGATCGGAAGTCCCGTGATTCCGTTGAGCGCGGTTTAGGGTTTAGGGTTTAGGGTTTAGGGCTGAGGCAGTTGAACAGAGCCAGCGGCTCGGAGCCGGGTTGGGGTGTCAGCGAGGTTTCTGAGTTGCCGGGCTCCCGGAGGTTTGAGGCAAGGCGCTTTGATAGGCCTGGCACATGGGCTTGGAGGTCCCTTACAAGATGAATTTGCAGTGTGTCTTAGGCGGTGATGGGTTTCTGGTCGGACTCTGGAGTTCACGCGCCCAGGCCAAGTCTGACTGTGGGGTCTGAAGTGCTGGGGCTTCGGCAAATGTTCTGAGAATGTTCTGAGTTTCAGATGTGGGGCTTCCACAGTCTAGAGATACATGAAGCGTGACTTTCGGGTCCACCGATAGCAAGGGTCATGCATATCCTTGGGCCAGGATGTTGTTGCAATACTCGCACAACGAAGCCAGTGGGCAATGCACTCTCCCCAAGGCCACCTCGTCATCTCCTAGTTGGTCCGCCAGCTTCGCCAAACCGCCAGCCAGACGGATCTGGCAAGCAAAGAGGACAGCAATTCTCATCATGTGGGCTGTCGTTACGTGTTGGAGGCGTGGGCTGTCGTTACGTGTTGGAGGCGTGATTGGACTTTGGAGTGTATACAAGGTGAACAGGTGAACACACACACACACACGTCAACAAAGTGGGAGGCAGGGAACCACCCAGCCAGCCTGCTCCTCTCTCCCCCCCCCGAAACATACACAAGCAGGGAAGCAGGCAAGCAGGCAAACAAGCAAACAAACAAACGAACAAACCATGCCCAGAGCATTCCAGGCAACGGGACAAGAAGCCTGAAGACTCTGAAGCCCTGCAAGATCTTGAAAGCCGAGCCTTCTCATGTAACTCGAGGAGGCGCCACGTGGCGGCCTGCGCAGGCTTTGGGCCCTTTATGCGGGGGCTCTCGCGTTTCCCATGTGTTTCGCACTGCGGGGTTTGAGCCTCTGAAACAGCAGTAGCCGACGGCTCAAGCCTGGACCCTCAATATCGCACCTGCACCCCTCTGCATATTTGGGATTTGGACGTTTCGAGAGTTGAGCTGCATACGTGTGAAGCAAGCAACTGCAAGGGTAGACTTGAACAATCAGCAGCAGCTCCAAAGGAACGAGCAGTAGTGGAATCGTGCAAACAGAGCTTACAGGTGTGTTGGGGCATGTTAGGGCTGACATGTTTAAGGGTTACGCTCGGAGTCTTCCCTAAACCCTAAACCCTAAACCCTAAACCCTAAACCCTAAACCCTAAAAGGGAGATGCACCTGACAGGCGGCAGATGCCTTTTTCTCCACCTTGCGCAAGCTTGGACCCCATGTCCATCTTCGCCTGCCAGGATGCCTCTGAGAGTCTGTACGGATCTCACATTCAACTGGGTTTAGGGTTTAGGGTTTAGGGTTTAGGGTTTAGGGTGACCCTTGCACCCTTTCATGAAAGTTAATGCTCACTTGGCAGTGCTCCGGCGCTGTACAATCAGGGCCACGGCAAGTGTTGCAGCGACGCCAAGCGTCAGGACCTGGCAGTGTCGAGTTTCAGGAGGTTTCGACAAGCTCATCCAAAGTCGTTATTGTTCTTTTAAAGCTTCGACGCGGGAAAACTTCTCAACCCCTCGAGGGGCAAACAAAACAAGCTGCTCAACCTCCCCCCCTCCAGACAGGGTGCAAGCGGAAGGGCCAGGGACTGTCTGCGCCGGTACCGGCCGATGGGAGCCCCATCCAGTGCACGGACGGCGTACTCCTCTCAGGGCTTCAAAGCTCGTGTGGCGTGGATTGAAGAACCCTGCATACCGGGGTGTACCGAGACCCTTTCTTTGACACCCAACAGAGGGACCCCCCCCCCCCCACCAATCTCCAAAAGACTGAGCCTTCCATTCAAAGATGCTGAGCTCGGGTAGGGCAGCGAGCTCGCGAAGTTCTTGCTCCGTGCCCATGAACTCCTGAAAAGCTGTCCGAAATTGTCCAAATACGTGCGGACATGGTTTCGGCAACGCACAGTGTAACTAACAGCAACAGGAGAGCTTCATGAAGGGATCGTGCCTCCTTCGATATGACCGGGGTGTGTCCGTTTTTGGCAGCTTCTCGGCCACGCATGCTGTACTCCATAACCACCTCTCGCTTTCGGGATCTGAGCATTCGGGGTGACTCAGACCCTGACTCCGACGGACAAGCATTTGGGCGACTAGCCAACGCAAAGAATTCTCAGTCAAACCGACCCACTCGTGGATTCGCTGCGGACTGAAATCGGAACCGGAACCCGGAGGTGTAAGCAGGAAGCAGAGAAACCTAAAAATGAACTCACCCCGACCACCCCTTCCCACCCCCCCCCCCGTGCCACAACTACCCAGAAGCTCAACTGCGCCGACCTGCCCGACCCCACACGTCGGGAAATCAAGGCTTTGAAGGTTTCAACTGCCAGAGCGCGCTGCGCCCCTCGTTCCAGCTTCAATGTCCGCCTCCGCATCAGCCTCGGGCCTCCCGACGGCCTCTCTGTCATTGTGCCTTCTCGTGGGGTGCCACCCCTTGTCAGCTTTTAACACACAACTTCCTGAAGGCTCAAAGGCTCCGCTTGAAAGGCCTTGGAGATCAGAAAAACGCGGGATGGAAGGGTCGGAATTGGAAGGTGTCCACCTCGTAGCCGAAGCCAGTTCAAACGCCACTTCGAACCGAAGCGAGCACAAATTTTCATGAACATATACTTCAAGGCAAACCATCGCAACCGAACGCATCAAGGCAGAACATGTAGTAGAACAAACCAAACTAAACTCAACAATGGCTGTGCTGCTACTGGTTGTAGAGGCAAGGGCGGTTCGGCTTCTGGATGCACAACGAAACCGCAGTACCTGCTGCTGCTGCTGCTGCGGCACAATCGGTAGAGCTTAGAGTCTACAGTAGCTTGAGCTTGATGAGCTTGTTTATAGCCCGTGGTCCACAAGAATCACCCCATACCACCGCCTTGCGGTTGCCGTACATCAGGGAGCTGACGCGGGAAAGAGTCCAGTCCGGGTTGGGCCGCGCTGCCAGCTGCAAGATGTCCCCTTCTCGCAGGTCCCCAGGAACCAGCGTGCCTGGCGGCTTACGTATGCGTACGTGGTCCTGTTGGCCAGCTTCAGACCCTAAACCCTAAACCCTAAACCCTAAACCCCAACCGGAATGAATGATATGGGGACGCGTCTTCTCGGCTAAGAGCTATGGAATGGATGAGCCGAGGTGCGCAAGAAGAACCCAGCCCTTCCTGTCCGGGCACAGTGGGCGCGCACACCATCTGCAGTGAAGGTCTTCCCAAGCATTTGGTCCACTTTTTGGCAAGGGAGGCGAGGGCTGGAAACCTGCTCGGAGCTAAACCGGCTAAGCCTATACTGAAAACCTTACATGCCCCCGGCCCCCAGCCCTAGCTCCCCGAAGCTTATTAAGCTTATCAACCTGCAGACCATTCTCGGAGTCCCACAGGCCCTTAAGCCTGCAGCCGCAAGGGCTGCTGCGCGTCATTGCGCCAGCATTCAAGCCTGACATCCAGAGGCTATTGCTGTCAGCTTGAGCCCTCTTGAGCCATTCATATATAGAGCAGCAGAAACCAAAAGCATTGCTTACACACAAAGCCGAGTACTCGTCGCCCACACAGAGAGTCTCGGAACTCAGCCCCGAGTCGAGGAAGAGGTTCTCCCCGAAAGCCCCGGGATTCAGCGACTCCTTGTCGAGAGGCGCCCGCAGCGAAAGGCCTTGCAGGACCGCAAGGATCGACAATGTACCAAAACGAGTATAAAGGCTGTGGGCTTATAAGGCCTGTAGGGGGAGCATCTTGAAACAAAACCCAGCAATGTGGGGCTCTACGAAAATAGGGGACCCTCATATGGACCCCATATAGTAGGATTCCCTTACAATAACGACCCCAAAAAGGCACCCCCGATTTCGGAACCCCCATGTAAGGGCTGCAAATAGTAGTAAAAGTAATAATAGAATACTACTACTACTACTACTACTACTACTACTACTACTACTACTACTACTACTACTACTACTACTACTACTACTACTAATAATAATAATAATAATAATAATAATAATAATAATGATAATGATAATAATCATAATAATAATATTCCTAATAATACTCATAATAAGAAATGAATAATAGCAATAATAAAAATGATAATAAGAAGACTAACGGCTGCAAGTGCAGAGCTTTCGTAAGGCATCCGCCGGCCTGCACTGAGCAGGGCTTCCACATTGCCGGCGGTCTGCACCAGGATCGCCTTAGGGTTAAGGGTTAAGGGTTAAGGGTTAAGGGTTAAGGGTTTAGGGTACGTGTTTACGTGGCTTTTTCATGCTGTCATTCTTAAGTTGTTTATGGCACTGTACGGATTTATATGGCTTTATAGGCTGCCTGTTTTCGGGTAGCTTCAACCTGCACCCCTGCACCTCTGGACTCCTCAAAATGTGAGTGGAATGAGGGCCTTTTGTTGTGTCCATGTCTTTCTCTTTTTTATTTTGCATGTGTGTGTGTGTGTTTTCGTTTTCTATATCCTTAGTAATTATCTTTGTTTTCCATGTGTGTGTGTGTGTGTGCTTTATACGGGTTTTAAGCCATTCATTTTTTTCTTGGGGGGGGGGGGGGGGGGAGGGAGGCCGCATTATCCTGCCGACGTTGCGAGTTCAGAAAGCACTAGAAATCAGAAGATCGTGTGCGCAAGGGTGTTCGAGCACTTCATAGTTCTATGGTTTTCCAAGTCATTCCAGCAGGACAGGCCATAAAGCTAAAACCCTAAACCTTATACCCTATACCCTGTATCCTAAACCCTAGACCCTGAACCCTGGACCAAAACCCATCCCTATGCTGCCTGCAGACCTGAGAACAACAAATCAAGAAACTGTCCTGGTCCCTAAGATGTTGGGTTCAAATTTTGCTTGCAAAGCGTCAAATCGCAAGCCTTGCTCCCTAAGATTTTGGGTTCAACTTTTCATCCAAAGAATACTCTTGCAGCAAAAAAAACTATGGGGGACACTGCTTGCGATTTGTGATTTTGGGACATATTCTTTCAGCAAAAAACACTATTGGGGACACTGTTTTTTCTCGTGACTTTAGGAGATGACGACGGAAGATGATGTCAGTATGATGATAAGATGATAAGAGAAGGTGATAACAAGGTGATAAGAATGGTAAGATGATGATGGGAAAGATGATACAATTAAATTACGTAAATTATTTCATTGGGGTCAATTACAAAATCTGAATAATTTGAATGATTTTGGTGATTCAAATTATGTAAATTGTTTATTCTTTGTTTACTTGGGGTCAATTAAATGATTTAAACAATCTAAACAATGTTAAAAAATTGAAAAAACCTAAATTAAAATCATTTTAATACCTTGAATAATTAAAAATGTGAATAAGCAAAACTGTTTAAATTATTTAAGTTATTTAAATTCTATAAATTATTTAATTGGGGTCAATTACATTATTTATTTAATTTAAATAACTTTGGTTACTTAAATTACTTAAGCTATTTACTTGGGGTCAATTACAGAATTCAAAGAATTAGACAATTTTGGTTATCTAAACTTTTTACATTATTTGAATTCTTTAGATTATTTAAAATATGTAATTTAGACAATTTAGATAATTTAAGGAATTGAAAAAGTGAAAATAATTTAAATAGTTTGAAAAATTGAAATGATTAAAATGTTTGAAATAATTAAGAATAACAATCAAATAAGTTTAATTGTGGGAACCTCCCAGACCATCCAGAGAAACAATTAGATAATTTAAATCCGACAGCTCAATTTCAAAATTCAATTAGACTCCCGGATTTAGATTATTTAACTGCATCTAATCACATATTTTCAATAAGCTAAACAATTCAACTTATTTTCACTTACAAAAACAAGTGAAGGAGCTAAATAGACCCGAAAGGTAGCTCCCTCATATAGATAAACTAAAAAACACAGGGATTATATAGGGTACCTCATTCCCCCATTCCCCGCCAACCCACAGTAAGTCGCCCGGTCTTTGGCGTCTTGTGCTTGCCCCCCGGCTTGACTGAAGCGAACGCTATTGCCAAAGCTCACGGAGTTCTCCAGTCCACCGAGGCCGACGTTGACAGCCTCCTCTTGTGGGAACGCATGGGAAGCTCGATGTGCAAGGACGAGTAGTTATGGGAGAACACGGGTGCTCACCAGCAAGGAGTAGATTCAGACTGACTCAGAATTTTTTTTTTTAAAGAAGCAGGGGCGCAGCAACAGGAAAGTCAAACAAAAAGTGCAGGTTGCATCTCCTGCTTGCAGCGGCTCCGCTGGAAGATGGGCCGTTTAGGGTCGCTGCTACCCCCGAGCACGAGGTCGCCTTCCTCGGGTTGCCGGAGCAGTCGGCACGCCACGCGGGCTTGCAAAGAAGGCACGGCCATGGCTCTTGAGGGACTCTGGGATGAATATGATGAGTCAGGGCGGCCAGCAGCACCCCTCTAGAGAAGCAAAATCGAAAAGAGCCTCTGAGATGAGCCAGTCTAGGTTAGTATAGTGACCTTCCAGGGAGCAAAATCAAAAGAGCTGCGGATGTGGTTGTGATCGACCGGCGCACACCCCGCAGTCGCGACCAAAAAAGCAACAGCCTCTGCCCTGGGTGCATTAGCTTCAACAAAGTCTTGTATGCAACGATGCTCAACACTACCATTCAAACAAAGAAGGGATCACATCTCAACCCTAACCACACACACACACACACATGGTTGCCCTGGTACTCAGTGTCGTGGTCAACAGTGACAATTAATTACTAAGGAAAACGTGCAGATCCGAGCGTTTGCAAACGTGAAATCTTGCAGGTGGGCCTGTATAGCTACCTGGCAAGCCGTACAAAGGTTTTCGGAAGCACCCTCGCGGCAGACCTGCATCGAGGCTGTGAGGCAGAGAGAGAGAGAGAGGGAGAGAGAAACACAAAGAGTTGTGTTTGTGTATATACATATATATATATATATCTCATATATTATATATACACACAGAGTACACAGACTTACGTACATCATGTATTCTTTGGCTTTTGAGAAAAGTGGCCGAGAGAGTGAGAGTGAGGATGAGAGAGTGAGAGCGTGAGAGAGTGAGAGAGTGAGAGAGTGAGAGAGAGAGAGAGAGAGAGAGAAAGACAGAGAGAGAGGGAGAGAGGAGGAGGGAGGGGCAGGGGGAGGCACAGAAGGAGAGGGAGAGGGGAGAGGGGAGAGGGGAGAGGGAGAAGGGAGGGAGGGGTGAAGAGACACAGTTGCAAGGGAAAATCTAAGCAAAGTGGCGAATTCTGAGTTGCACCAAACAAGCACTCAAAACCCATCTTTTCTACATCTCTCTAGTGCTGTGACCTTGAGCCCCTGATCAGACTTGTCAGAATTATCCAATCTTGGCCTGCAGGGAGGACTCATTGGCCTAAGCCACTTTAGCCCAAAAACCCGCATATTTCTTCGAGGGCAATGGGGGGAATTGAGGCCCTGCCTTGTCCTGGTGGAGGACTTCGGCAGGCGAAGCAATCCTCGTGCAGTAAGACTTCTCTGGATTTTGAGGACACGGACGGGCAACCTCGCCTCAAGGCTGGACTCACTGAGCCCAAACTTGAGCATCCAAGCTCGACCAACAACTCCGAAGCCTGCCTTGTTCTGCAACCATAAACCCTAAACCCTAAACCCCAAACCCTCATCTGCCATCTTTTGGAGCGCTCGCGAGCAGTCGGAGCGACGGCGAGCGTCGCAAGCTTGCAGGGGCATGGGATACTGATTCTTAAACCTCATAAGCGCTTGAACTTCAACTAAGCCTGCAAGCAAAGTGCGCTCGTGGAATTCCGATAACTCAAAACAAACACAACACCTTGCGCTTGCGGATCTGTGAGAAAATATATTAATACCTGTCAAAGGCCAGATGCAACAAAGCTCTGGCAGGATTAAACCACAGTCCAGTTGTTCGATATTCATCCCAAACCCAAACCTCCGAATTCACAGACAATCGACAGCATAACCAGTCCACCCCCACCCCCCACAGAGCATTAACCCCACAAACGTATGCAAAACATGCAACATAAACAAAAATTAAAATTGCAGCACGGCGGCGTGGGCGGCTCTAACTCGTCAGCCTCTGCGTCCTCCGTGGCTGCGGATTTGGCCGCCACTTGAGTGTACAGAGGCCCACCTTAGCGTTCTGATGGCTCCTCGACCCAGGCCAAGCTGGGCCAAGAAGGTGAGTTGCTGTGAGTTCTTGCGGTTCGCAACTGTTCAAACTTTAGAACTGCCGGTCAGCTGCCAAATCTTGGTGTGGCGGCTGTGAATTCAGGATGTTGGGAGTGGTTTGGATATCCTGTTCGGGCATTGTGTCGGTGGTTTCCTGTCCAGCAATCCAGCGAGCAACGCCCGCTAATCCCGCGTTATGGCCGCGATCCTGACCCCCGATTCTGCCATGATTCTGCCATACATCCACTTGAAGGAATATTCTTTAGACTCTTTAGACAAGGCCGAATCGCCCGGATTTCTAGTATCCCAGGGCTCTTTATGAAGGCCTGTTCACCTATTTTGCTGGCGAGATACGACCAAGTATGGCAAAATCGCACGAGCGGCGGCGGCAGCAGCAGCAGCAGCAGCGTGGAGAAAACGGGAATAAACAAAATGCGTGCTTTTCGCCTCTTGACGCACAAAACTCATGTAAGCAGACACATTCCAGCCACGGTCCCCACTGAAGGGAAACACATGGTACCAGACACGAGGTGCAGAAAGTTCCGTACGTCATTCCCCACCCCCAGCCACCCCCCCATCCCCACCCCCATATTTGAAGAGTAGCATCATGCCGCGGCGAAAGACACGCATACCAACCGACAACGACAAAAGGGTCGACGTGTCGACAGTCACGAGGATGGCGGCCCCGATGCGCGCCATCCACGTCGCCCGTTATGCACTGTCAGCACTTGTATGACACACGAATGCAGGCCGAAACTTCAAAGGGACGACACTCACGAGGATGGTCACCAATGGGCACGGCCGATGCTTGCAAAAGCGGGACGCGTCGACCCGGATCAAGTCCCCTGACCCGCGACTCTCAACAAAAGAACCCTTCACTACGCATTCGGGCATCAAACTCAAAAAACAGTTCATGGTTGGAATAATATTAGCAATGTAAATGTTGATTCTTTATTGAGCTTAAGAACCCTTAAAAATTAAACTGTTACCCAACTATGACAAAGACACAGCAATCACACATCCCTGGATGGCCAAGTGGCTCTGCACCTCCCCCGCTGTGGGCCAGCAGACGATGGGCGTGCCGGGGTTGGTAAACTTCCGCGACTGCAGGGGGGTTTTCTCACGCCACGTACAGGAAAGCCGCTGGCAACTTTTCGGGGTCTACAGACCAAAGCAGTTGGACGAAGCCTGAAATTGAGAAAGAGTCAACGTGTTCATGCCTTCTCCACCGAAGACACATAAACTGAGAGACTAGTAACTAGGCCGAAGGTGTTTCAGCGCCCTGATGGTTTTGTTTGTCACAAAGCTTTGGTGAAAAGGGTAAAGATATTCAGGACTTCAAAGCTTCTTCCGCAGAGCCGAGTGAGGCGTAAGCTTGATTGTTTGTCACTGTTCTACCTTGCACGGATACCGCACTCTCGAACCGAGGTACGTAAGAGTACTTGTTGTTTGCACATGAACGCGCCCTGCGAGCAAAACAGTGGACAGTAACAAGATGCCATCTTGACAAGCTTGCGTCAACGCGTGCCTTCATGCCAGCACTTTGCTGTTGTCTCGTACCATGCATATCCCAATAAGACCCGTACATCTGATGTCAGAAATTGTCGCCGACACGCTGCTTCTTTGCAGGCTTGATCCGTTTTGCAGAGAATACCTCTAGCACTGTGCCGCAATGACTGAATAGAAGTAGCATGTAGATTTCATACCTATATATGCTGTGCGTTCAGGCATCTTCCAAATGCGGGAATTGAGATTCTCCCCCAACTCCCCCTTCTCCAATGAGGCATCGGAGAGCAAAGAGAACCTCCCAGCCGATGAAAACGTGAAGAGATGAGAGAAGATGAGAAAGATGAGATGAGGGATGAGAAAGACATGAGAGAGAGAGAGGGAGAGAGAGAGAGAGAGCGCGCTATAGAGAGAGGGACCGGCCAAGCGAGAGGAGGGATTGTCTGTGGTTCTTATGGTTCGGGTTGTAGGTTAGTGGTGTGGGCTTTTGGGGTTGAGATTTAGGGTTCGGGTCGAAGGGTTCTGGAGTTTAGAGGCTTCAGGATTTCGGCTCTTAAGTTGTCCTCGCTTTTGGACCCTCACCCCGAACCCTACACCGCAAACCTTCAACCCCAACCCTGAACCTTCCCTTCAGCCCCGAACCTCAAAACCCTTGCAGGCCAATGCCTCTGCATCTCAGCTCCACAACCAGCCCACAACCCTAAACCCTAAACCCTAAACCCTAAACCCTAAACCCTATGCGGAGCTGCAATTGGTATTGTAGAAAGGAGTTAGTGTTGGAAGTTGGAAGGGTTAATGAACCCGGTAATCGTATTTGGCTCAAGATGGGCTTGAACAGAAAGCCACAAGTTCAAAAAGTAGTGCCTGGGTTCTTAGGGTTTGGTAAGGGTGTGGATTCCTTCCCCCTTTCCTTCCCCCCTGGGTTGCTCTTATCCGTGTTCTTGGTTGTTTCTTGGTTCGATCTGGGAAATATAAGTTCAGGGCGATTAGGGGAGTTGATTTCCTTCCTTGGTTGTCCCCCCGTAGGTTATGAGCCCAAATTAGGTTCCCTGCGGTTAAGTGTTCTTTCAAGGTTTTGGGATCAAGAAGCAATGCCTTCTCCGAAGCGATGGCTCCAACTTGCCTCGGATGGTGGACAAGATGGTGGAGCTGGAAATGGTGCAGCTGAGTCTCTGGGTGAAAGATCGGTGTTGGAAGAGGTGATTCCCGACGCTGAAGTACATCTGGAAGAGGCCTTGGTTGCAGAAAGCCCCAATGCGGGTATGAATCCCAATAGGGATATGGTTAGCAATGCTGAAGCTGAAGGACGTGCTGTTTCTGTACCGCCAAAGCCTGGTGAAAAAAGGAACTGGGATGCGACTGGTGGCATAGATCGTGAAATGGAGGTGACTGTTTTACGAGTGTTACACAAACACGGGTACCAGCCGTCGTCTTCGACTTCGGGTCGAATGGTAGACCAAGAGTCTCAGACCGATCTGATTGGAGAAGTGCTACAAGCGACCAGGAGGCCGTTGAACAAGATCAAAAAGGGTCCATCTTCGAGTTCCCAAGGTGGTGGAAGCGGTCACAAACAGAAGGGTGCGGACGGCTTTGAAGCTGCACCTGCTGCTGAATACGCCATGGGGGAGGAGGAGATCCTACAGATGGAGGCTGAACGGTTGCGACAGCTGTCAGAAGAAGAGGACGAGATGCGACAGGTT